TGACCAAGGACCAGAAGGCATAACAGCTGAACACATAAATTTTGACAGGTTTGCTCCAGGCCACCTGCCCAATGGATAGCAGCTGTGCCCTGACACTCCTCCAGCCTGCAGATTCTTGCCTTCCTTCGAGGCAAAAATCTATCACCAGGCACAGTGCCTACAGCTACCTACCACAGCTCTGGGCAGGCCATCAATGAAACCACTTGGCATGGCACAAAATGCAGAACTCCTATGGAACTGATTTCTGTCTCTCTGTGAACTGTTCTCAGCTGCCCAAAGTTTCTGGTATAGGAAGTGAGATCAAATTTTGCCACTTATTTCTCCCCCGAAGACAAAAAAAGTGGGGGACAGCCTAGGCCACAACAGGGAAGAAAAGGGAAAGCAAGGCATCAGTGAGATGTCAAGGGACAAACTCTAGTGTGGTGGCCATTAGGACACAAGCCAGAAATAACTGCTGGCTCGTACACCAACCTACCTCCTCTAGCAGCCAGCCTGGCTCTGCAGGGCTCTGGCAAAGTCAGGGCTAGTGGCCCAACTGCTTCCTCCCCACCAATTTGCTGCTCAGAGCAATCGCCCGCTTTGTCTGCAGCAAAAAGAGGCCCCGAGTCCTTTAAAACTCTCTTTACCAACCAAACCAAGTGATGGCAAACCACTGGCACCAGGGCTGATTGAGCTTGACCACAGCAACAATGAACAGCTTTTAAAAGCTTTTGGCAGAAAGCCCACAGAACATCAGCCCTCAGTGGCCTCATCCCTTCCAAACTGTTGTCAGGAGTTAGCTACATCTGTGTTTATCCACAACAGATGTGAAGCTTCCATCTACCCATGTGCCTTTATTCCTCTGGGAAGGTACAAAAGGAGATGAAGAGAAGCCATGAGGGGAAATCTGCTGAAATAATAACAAAAGTAGAAAGAGGAGACAGAAGAGCTCTTGCCTGGGGAATACCCACCTCATGGTTCTGTGCAGTCTGCCAGGAAAAACCTCAGGCTGAGGGAGGATGTGATGTCACTGAAAGATTTAGGGAGGCAAAGGAGAAAGGATGGAAGGGAGGGAACTATGCGTGGAGGAGAGGCTCTGGTGAGGGGTGCAGAGAGCATATGGAGGCAGGAAAGCACAGGAGAAGGTGGGTTCCCCCAGGCTGGTGAACAAACAGTAGCTCAGAACTTAACTAACTGAAGAAATGCATGCACACGGCTGTCACATGCTTTAACTCATGATGCACTCCTGTTCTTTTGACAAAATTCATCACTGCTTTATTCAGAAGAGCTGGTTCTGAGTCATTTTAATCAACTAGTGTCTCAAGTTCATGGGAGTAAACTGAATACAAGTACTAACGTCAGTATTAAACTGCGTTTTAAAGCTCTTGTCTTCAGCCTACAAACAATTAAACTGCACAGTTCATCCACGGAGGAAAGAGATGAAATTCAGCTCAGTTACTGTGATGTGTTCCTACGGCTGTTTTAAGATTCAGAGCTAGAAATGTCTAACGTGGTCTTTCTTGGACCAAACAGAAGGAAAGAACACATAACTGGCTGTCTGAATTCCCTACAGAAAGCAAAACCCTAGGAAACCCTTAGGGCAAATAGAGAGCAGACACAACAGCAGGCAGAAAGCTAACTCCTAGGGGAAGAGCGGCTCGGGGCTATACTTTGTTTATTAATTGGTAATCACTTCATATCTTGGGCCTGAGCACAGGAACTCAATTCAGCAATTCAGCTGTTAGACTAGTTCCTGGTGACCCCCTGGCATGGGACAGATCGCTTTCTCCTAACTCATTCTAATCACAGCCCAGGAGATGGCAATTTTGAGCACTTCTCATTCTAGGATAGTGCATTAAAAGGTGCAACTCCAGGGTGTAAACTTCATCAGAAGTAAATATTTGAGATAGTCCCAATTCAGATAAAAGAAATCTTTCTGTTGCTAAGCAGCCCAGACATGGATGATGATCACTGTACAAATACAGAAAGTAAGCTTTTGTGCATAAGAAAAGCTGAAAAGCATAGAACTGGCAAAGTGAGTTGCCACCAGACAAGATCAACTCTCCACAGCCCTGAATGCAGGGAAGAAAATCAGTACAACTGGGATGTCTCCTCCAGGCAAAGGAACCAGGCCATTACCAGCTTCCACGTGGATGATCGTCATTAATACAGCAGCAGAAAAAACGATACCCTAGTTTAGCATTTTACCCCTAAGCCAGTGCATTGAACTGGATATCTGGTAGTTCAGCAGCACAGCAGCAGTGCTGGGCCAAGTCCAAGACACAGCCTTCTGGCCCAGGAGGAAAAGTTGTTACCAAATGAAGCGTGTTGACAACATATGGAGGCCCCTGCTACTGGAGCAGTTTCATCCTTATCCAGAAATAAAAAAAATGTAAAGATTTTGCCAAGCACATGATTCAATATAGGTCAGAGCTCTGCTACTCAGAGCACTCTGGCCACTGATACGGCTTGCAATGGACTACATTGTTTTATTTTTGACTTCACATCTTTTCAAAGGTTTTGTTTTTTTTTTTTAAATACAAGGAAAGGAACTGTGGATTTTTTAACATCTGAATTACCCATGCAGCAGGGAACTGTGTAGTACTAAACATGTTTATCCAGTCTGTACCACCTCCTTTTTTATCCATTCCCATCCCAAACTAACTTGTAGCTTCGAGGAAATGGCAAGAAGTTATACCAGAGGAGGTTTAGGTTGGACATTAGGAGAAACTTTTTCTCTCAGAGGGTGGTCAGGCACTGCAATGGCTGCCCAGGAAGGTGGTGGAGTCGCCGTCCCTGGCAGTGTTCAAGAGGCGCCTGGATGAGGAGCTACGAGAGATGGTTAGTGCTTGTGGTACTGATAGGAATGGGAGGGTGGTTGGACTGGATGATCTTGCAGGTCGTTTCCAACCTTGTGATTCTGTGATTCTGTGATTTCTCAGACGTGCTTTAAGTCTTTCGAGTTCCTTGTTTAAAGCATGCATGCACCTACAACTTTAAGGGCATGAAAGAAACCCTAAAATGTTCACTCCAGAAATACCCATTCACTGAAAACTGCTTCTTTCTTTGTCCTCTTACACAGACATCTATAATTCCCAGAAGGCTTAAAACTGGGATGCAATGCTTATGTCCAACCTGATCTCCACTGATGTGAATTAAAAATATCTTCCATGGAAGCTAGATGAGTTAGAGGGAATTAGAAACAATATAAAATGAGATTCAGGATTCTTATTTCCATGTTTGTTTCTACTGTGACAGTGTACATATGAGATTTAAAAAATAAACACATACCAATAAGTTTTTATACAGGAAACCAACCACTGACTTAGAAAGAAAACCATCAGACTGCATGTGTCATGCTGCAACTCTACCAGTGAAGGCCATGTTTCTTTTTAAATAAACAAAATTATTCTGATTCACTAAGAATTCTGCTCTCGAAAGGAATGGAAGCAATAAACTAAATGAGGATTAAATACCAGATCTTTTCATCCTTCAAGGCATTAAAGGACCAAAATAATCAGACTTTCAAATGCTACGTCAAACTCTGCAGAGCAGAAAAGCAAACTTCTTGCTTGTTTTGGCACAGCAAATTCTTTACAGCTTACACTTGTTGTAACTCTGAAAATACAACATTGTGTTTGCTAACCCAATAGATCATTTTCCTATCCAAAAAAGGACAGTTTCTTTTATAAACACCACCAACTAAAGACCATTCTGCGGGAAGTACTGTGTTATCTGACTTCTCATTGTAAATAGTTGCTTAACTTTTTAAAACACCTCTTCAACAAAGGAGAAATTCTGAGTAATTAAGCACATGTTTTGTCAAAAGAATAATGTTTAAAGTTCCCCAGTGAAGTTTAAAGGATGAAATATCTCAGGTAAAAAGGATGCTATCTGGACATCAGCAATTAAATGTGGTTGTAATAGAAGAAGCAAAATCATTACAGTCAACCTGAATTTTAGTTTGGGAGACCCATGCATAGTACTTGGTGTGAATGACCACTCTGCAAATGATTCACAGTAACTGGGAATCAATAAAAGAGTGTTCTGGCTCGTTCCTATTACTTACTGCCTTCTTCTAGAAAGAAGCATTTCAAAAGCCCACACTGGTTCCAGAAAAAAAAGAACATTCAGTAAAGGCTAGTGATTGTGGATGGCTCAACCAACTCAGCTGAATCCATCAGCAACTTACTAAAGGTCAAGAACTTATCTACTTTGGGCTTCTCTACTTGGTCATCTAAAGTTTGAGACACTCTAAAAAAACAGTCACAACTTAAGATCCCAGACATGGAGAAACTAAATTTACATTCAGTCTTCAGTAGTTAGAAATGCTTTTGGAAATTCAGTGAGAATTTCCATCTTGAAGTGGAAATATCCATCTAGAAATTATTGGACAGATACACAAACCCAGATATTACCTTTAGCAAGTTCTGATTCAATTCCTCAGTTTCTCAAGCTATTATTGCTTATGTCTTAGATTCATTTAGGATGTGATATCTTGAGAAGGGCAAAAGGAAATACGTGAATCTCATGATTGAAATGTTGGTTCTTTTGGTCTTTGTGCTGCTATAACTTCACATCATTCTAGTTACCAGTCAGAACAGAAGTAGTTCCAGACATGGTAAACCCTCATGCTCTCCAAAGTGGCATGTCCTATAGTGTCTGGTGGCTTTACAATTTGTGGAAGCACCCTGCAGTGTCTTAGTAGAGCACCTACTGCAGTTGAGGCTGTAGTCAAGCCATTCATGATGTCTCTCCCTCTTGGATTCCGTGAGGAATGCACTGAAGTGGTCCTACAAACTTTCTTTTCTCCATAAAGGTACTTATTTATGAATCTATAGGAATCTGTCTATTGGAATACAGCAGAGGCCTCTCCTCCTCTGTCAAGCCCAACTGAAAGCGTTCTCTGTTACAAAATGTTGAGATGAGGGGACAGAGACGTGGAGTAGCCTTATTTCTATTTTTATTTTTAGAAAATTGGGCAAAAAATTAAATAACAACGAAGGCCATGACATCCATACCTGATTATACCAAGAGGGTCTAAATCTTCTTCCTCCTCTTCCTCTTCCTTTTTCTCATCTTTCTTGGCATTCTCCAGTGTTGCAAGCTTTGAAATCAAGTCAGGTGTCTTCTCCTCTTTAAAAAAATCCAACGCATCATTTTCTTCATCTTCTTTCTCTTTGTCGTCAGGAACATTTTTACCCTTGTAGTCAATGACACCAGTAGATTTTGTTCCTGCAAAATACAATTACAGATGCAAAACTGAAAACACAGGACAACAGCCATGTTTTACTTCATGGCTTGCACCTGTTCCTTGTGATTTCGTTTGAGGAATGAAATACACAATCAGCTTTTGTGAAATTCTTCCAATATTCCCAATTGTCCCTAGTTCTGTTCAATCCCGTGTCACTATATTTCTGATCTGTTTACTGATTTAAAGCTGTCAAGAAGAGAAAGACAGAGGAAACCAACTTTATCTAAAACACAGCAGCATATGCCTAATCTCCTTTATGTTCCTTCTGTAGTCGGTGGAAACAATGGAATTTCCAGTTGGTGACTCATCACATCTAAATACAGTTGGTTGACAATAAGCTTCCTTCTGAAGTGCCTGTTTCTCCCCCTTGGCTATAGAGGGGGCCTAAATGCTCCACTTTGCTGTAAATAACTAACCTTCATATAACTAGAAGAGATAAAGTGCAGTTTTAGTTACTGATTTAATGAACTTGGACTAAAATACAGCACTGGACAGCATGAAAAACAGTTTCCAAAGCAGTTCTTCAATTTACACTCAGAAATGAAATCTGAAGTTCTAACTCTCTTCACTATGCAAGGTCCATCAAACTGAACAAACTCAGCAAACTGAAACACTGAGAAAGTTTTCTGACCAAACTTGTTACATGGAAAACCTAAGAGCGAGAGAAGAGCTCATAACTATTCTGTTTTGTGGAGTCTCTGGATGTTCAGGAAACCAATTCAAAATAATGAGACTAGCTAAAAATAGGCTAGCTTGAAAACACTATTGGTAAATAAAATTCCTACCTTCATCCTTTTGACTGTTTAACACGGCAAGTGGGACTCATCTCATCTTGCTTTCATGACTGTATGTGTCTAATCAGCTAGGGCAGAACACAGGAACTAAACCTGCATGTCTACACTGAAGAAATGGTCTTACGCTCCCCTTGTAGGCAAGGAGACTGTTGGTGAGGGCAGAAAGTGGAGGTCAGGGTGCTGCATATTGCAGCATATACATGCTATCCATGTAGATAAACATGTATGTTTTATCATGTTAATTCTCCCCAAACACCTCTTCATATATTGACTATGTCTCCAATAATTTAAGGACCTGTAGCGTAAGTACTGAAGTTACCTGGTTTGGTAGGGTGAGACACAGTATTCTAAGGCAGATTTTGATGGGTTTCGTGACTGACAGGGCTTTGGTTACAGGGATGCACACTTGCTAGTCTCATAGAGCTCCCAACCTGTGTGAAGTCCACACTTCACACTTTTGCAAAACAGTTTGCACATGTTGACTTGCAAGTGCCTTGCACCTTTGCTTTGATTCCTTAAAACTAACACTACACTAAGAATCATGCACAGCACCATGCTGGTGTATTCCCTGTTCAGCAACACTCAGATGAACTAAGAGCAGAGAGCCCATCTGTTCCATTCATTCACTGACTCGCTGCTATGTCCAAAGAACGCAAGAAAGGATCTGTACAAATCATTGGAAGAGGCAACAAGAACTGGACATGAAGCTAAGGAAAATTAAGGAGAAAAAAAAAAAAGAAAAAAAGCTAGAGAATGGTTTTAGCTAAGAAAGCATCAGACTTTTACTCAAAAAGTCATTGTCAGTAATTTGCTTTAGGGTCTCCTTCAGCAAGACCTAGCAGTTTTATTAGGAATGAAAAACAGACAAAGCATGGAGCAGTTGTTCACTAAGGGAGCCCTGCACTGCCCTTTCAGGGACCATCCCTCTGCTAACAATATATGATTATTTAGCCTTTGAAACTTGCATGTTCTGAATCACAGCTTTAATATATGCCTAAGGGAAATCAGAGACTGTGCAACTGACACTTGCATAGAGACCACTTTGGCATCAGTACTTCCAAAGGAGACGTATCCACTGAAAAGAGGGGAAAATAACAGCAAACATGATCAGAAAGAGTGGTGAGGCATTGACCCAGGCTGCCCAGGGAGGCGGTGGAGTCACTGTCCCTGGAGATGTTCAAGAAATGTGGAGATGTGGCACTGAGGGACGTGGTTTAGTGGGCATGGTGGGAATGGGAGGTGGTTGGACTAGGGGATCTAAGAGGTCCTTTCCAACCTTAATGATTGTTTGGTTCTATGGCTGTGTAGCACTGTAGGTGCACAAGAGAATATTTTTAGTGATAACCTTTACTGTGGCATTCTCTAGCTCTTGACTACCTAAATCAGGTACCTAATAAGGCTTGCAGTAAGCATGTTTGTGGGAGAGGGGACACTCACATATTTTAGTTACCTAAAAATTCCAGTAACTCAGGACTCGTTGCTAGATCCTCATCTTTTGAGATGAATTTCATGATATCATTGAACATTGCTCTTCGTTCATAGATGTCAGATTCTCCCACAAAGAGAACTTTTCTAGGCAAGAGTGGAAGAGAAGCATGTGGATACCGTGCTGACAGCCTGTGGTAGAGCTCCTCTATCTCGCTGTACTTCTTGGACACCTGAAATAGAACGTGTTGTCTGGGTAAGTTTCTTTAAAGGCAAGAGGGAGACATGGGCAGGAAGCAGCAGTTTAAGCACTGTGAAGCATTAACCCTGGAATCTGAAGTGGAAAAACACGTATTACCAAAGAGCTTTACATATAGCCTAGTAAAAGCCTATTATCTACACAGTCAATCCCAAAGCACTGTTGCTGGTCTGGTCTTCTAATTCTGTTATTAAAACCTGTTCCCTAATGAAATAGGAGTTCATTGTCAGATACCCAGCGTCCATTTGTCTGACTCAGCAGCTAATTAAATACTGGGAAGATCACTGCTCCAGATACTTTCCTCTGACAGCTAAAATTCCTGTTTGCTAAAAGCAAGCTATGTGGTGGCCAGCTTCAAAAGACAGGAGTCATAGCCAGGTATGTTCCTCATGGAGAAAGCAGGATGAATCTTTCTACCACCATGTCAGAAAACAGATTTCTCAGCCTTGCTGGGTTTCAGTGTGCTTCTGACTGTGAAGGCTTAAAAAACTGGCATGTTTGCACAGCACCCAACACAGAAATTCGAGGGCAAAGACCTCAGGTGATCCCTGACACTTTAATTTATCCATGAAAAAATTCAAGGGTGAAGACCTCAGCTGATCTCTGACTCCTTATCTGTGAGAAAATAAAAAGAAACTACATGGTCTACAGGTTTTTGCATAGGGAGAAGATGCCAACAGTGGAGTCATTCCCTCTGCATACAAAGAGAGGAAGTCTGAGGAGAAATAAGGCCCAAGATACCGCAGGAAAGTGATAACCATGGGAATGCTGGTTAGAAATAGGTTGGCTTCTATGCCACAGTCAGTTCAGAATTCAAGACTGGAAACCAACACACACAAAAAATCCCCCACAAAAAGAAAACATACTGTCTGTAATTGATATTTTGGTCATAACGGAATTGACTATCATGCTATGGGAGTGTGGTATTATACAGACAATACATTCATCTTGATGCTCCATAATCTATTAAAATATTTCAATGAATACAGAGTTGGATTAAGAAAAAACAACCCAAAATCTAGCGCAAGCAGAGTCAGCATGGATCAGATCCTCTCCTAGGGTGGAACATTTATCCTCCTGTAACATACCCTGGTGAACTGTAATGGAGTGAATCCCAATTAACACTGAGATATGGACTGACACAACCACCACATCTTCCATCTTGGGATAGAAGAAAGCAGAGTATTTCCACCAATACAGCATTAATAGAAGGTCAACCCACAAGAAGCACAGAAGGTATCTGGGAAATAAGCTAGACACTAACTCAGAACCCATAAACTGTATCTATGCAAGCAAACTTAACAGTATCAGAATATATTCCGCAGCAGTGAAACTTGATAGTGTCTGATAGGAACCTTATAGTGTCTACTGGAACCTGATAGCATCTGGCCCAGTTTTGCCTAGGCAGCTAGCATTCCCTCAGCTAAATTTTCAGTCCAAGATTTAGGCTGGTGCAGAGCACTCAGTAGCCAGTTTTGGTACTTGCAGTCATTGTGAATGGTAAAAACAAAGGTTTCACACTATAGATCCAGCCAGACTTCTAGCTGGCCTCCTGGCCAGAGAACAGGCCCTGACATTCACAGACACACCTAGGCTAGTTCACTGAGCTACACACAGCCATAAAGAATAATAGCCACTCTAACTTTCGTGCTTCCCTGCCTTTCAGAGTAATGATCAACCAACCCAGATAATTTGCAGAATGTTTGCATTTCAGATGTACGATGATCATTCCTGGTTCAGCGTCCACCAGTAAAAGGCAGGCAGCTCTGCAAGAAAGATCAGAACCACAAAAACAGAACTGAGTTGACTGGGGAATGAAAAACTAGGATTTTAGACTTGCTTCATGTGTAAGTGTAGGCAACACTGTACTCTGCATGCAGGATCTGACACTCATTTCAGCAGCCTCTGACTACCATGAGACATACAAACATATTTCTCTCCCCTCTTAATTATCATCCCTCCTCTATCAAACACTGTACATTATTCATAAATCTCAATTTATGTCTGATTATACCACTGAACTTAAAGCAAATGCACACCCTCACATCCTATTGCTAATTGAGCCATTGCGAATCTGCTTGGGCTCTACACAGCACCGTGCAACACGATATACAGTGCAATAATGCTATACTCAAAGCACACTAACACGATGCCCAAAAGCCTGCAACACGTCATGCAGACTAACATCTGCAGTGTGGGGATGCCCTCTGCTGGGATGACCTACCACACACACAGGATATGAAACCTGCAGCCCAAACCATTCCCCACTTAAGCCCAAGGCTGTGCCCAGCAAGTCCCTGCCTCCAGTGGCTCTGCTTCAAACCCTGGTTTACAATTCGATGTTTTCTGACAATTTTCCAAGGGAAAGGCATGCAGCAAGTTAAGTCTTCCTTTTGCTGGTTACCCTTCCCAATCCTTTGAAAAGAGGCTACAGATTCTATAGTACAAAATGCAAGGTTAAAAAACGAGAGGTTGCTCTAAAGCCCGTTTTATCAATGCTATTCAGTTAACGAGATCCCATTTGATAGATGTTAAAATATTTGTCTTACATTACTTGTAATTCTTCCAGGATCCTGCAATTATCCTCTTCCCCTCCCCCTCCCTACCTTTGCCCTAAGCCCCCACCTGCTGAAGCCAGCTCAAGTGCACTGACTTTAAGGGAGATCTGTCAAGTTGCAGTATCAAAGGCTCGATTTACTTAACTTCCAAAGGGTTAATCACACAGATACAGCAAAGCATGTGTGTATTTGCCAGGATACAGCAAAGCATGTGTGTATTTGCCAGGTCAGGACCTTGTCTGCCTGTAACAATTAACATTCAACTTAGAGCTGAAGCAGAGACAGGGATGGGTTGAGTGGCTTTTTCTTTTTTTGCACCAGGAAACAGATAAGTAAGTCAAATATGATCACATATAGCTAGGAGGTTAAGAAAACCACCGGGAAGTTCAAAGTGAAAGATTGTAGTTTGCTGCTAATCCCTGAAATCTCATGCATGTGCCTTACCCAACTCCCCACAAAAACCTCGTGCATCAAAGTACACACTGATGCCTGTAGGACACGAGCCTGGGACTCTCAGATGTGCGTAGGAGAATTTGATTCCACTCAGTATTAGTGGGGTTTAATGTCTCCTTTCCCTAAGCTCCTTTTAATGCCTCAAACTTGTCTTCATATGCTCTCTATTTACAGTGAGGATTTCAGCAAAACAGAGGCCTCTGACAGAGCTAACTCAGCCCCCTTGGCCAGCCAGCGCACACTAACGACTCGACTTAATTTTACAGTATTTCATAAAATATGTATCTGTGACTACTTTTTAAAAGCCCACTTGTTCACACTGTCAGAAAATGGAAGTACAGCAGTATTATCCCTTAAAACATCCTGCAGCTTTGGATAGGGGAATCAAAAGCCACGGACAGCACAAACTGAGCTTTCACTTGTTTACTTCCAAGGTAAGCAATACCGGAATTAATGCTGCTTGGTGATCTCATGGTTATGCATTACAGTAGATTTTAATTACATGACCACCTGCTCATTCTTCTCACCTGTTTCACCCAGCAGAAAAGGAGCACTATAGTATTTCTTCTTTAATCAACACGAACTCTTAACAGCTGCTGAACCTACTGCTATACCATCACAGAAGTCACAACGTGAAGGAATTTATCTTTCCAACATACCTGTGTGGTCAGGAAACAGCAGCCCCAGCTCAGGGATAGTAAGGTTCACAGAAAGTAGGCCAATATTGACAACAGGCAAGAATAAAAACACACCCACACGCTTTTACTCCTTTGCTTTATGAGAGGGAGATAGTTCTGTAGTAAATTTCTCCTCGAAATGTGCTGTGCCCATCCAACACCAATGTTTATTTGCTCAGCCTGGAAAAAGAAAGAACTTGACTAACAAATGGTACTTGTAAAAAAGAAGTAATTAAACCAGGCACAAATAGAAAGAGAAGGCACTATCTGTTGGGCGGATTTTTAATTAGGCTGGGAAGAGAGAAGCTTATTACTAAAGAAGGTGAGGTGTGGCTACAAGAAATGCGTTTAAGATAAACAAAGCCTTTTCTTCTCACAGAAATGGAACATCTGTAGACAGTAACTAAAGGTTACCTTTGCAGCAGTGACTACTTGCTACTTGATGCAGCATCAAAGATAAAACCAATTCTGTTGTTTCAGTAGGAAAACAGGATTCTGACCTTTGAAAGAAATGCAGCTGAGTTCTCCTTTAATTACCAAAAATAACCTCAAGGTTAAGCAATTCTACAACCCATCTGCTGTATTTTACACGTGGCTTTTTTTTTTATTATTAAAAAATCCCTTCTGTTTCTCAGAACGTAGATCTGAAGGTTGCCAGGATGTGGATTTCTTCTTCTGTTAATGCTTCACAAATATTTTATGTGAAATGCTGATTTTGCACAGTCCCATTATGGCCAAGGAACACAGAACTCTGGATTGCTCAAACCCACAGCAAAGGACAGTAGCTCCCCAGGTCAGATATGAAATCTCTTTCTGCTGTTTGTTTAGCTTTGGTAAAAGAATCCTCACACATCTTGATCCACTGTGGTCTAAACTACAGCACTGAGTTCAGAGCTAGCTTAGAGGATGCTTCTGTCCTGCTCACCATCTTTTCCCAGAGGACATGAAGATGTTTTTTGTGCAAAAAATACTGTACAAGCACATGGCTGCCTGCAGCTGCTTGTAGCCCAAAGCACAGAGAGTTTTACTGCTGCCACCTAGGGCATAAGAAAGTAGAAGACATTGACTTCAACCGGAAGCAGGCAGAAAAGCAGTCAGACAAGGAACACCAATTTACAAGGGAAAGGAACAGAGGAAGGAGGAGGAAAAAAGAAAGCCCTTACATACTATGTCAAAGTGCATCACCCAACACAGGCATCTCAGGTGCTACCAGCCATGCACAGTAGGCAAACCCAGTTCACCTACATCATAGATGCTCTGCTGTATTCTTCTCAACAGTACCGCAGTTGCTGCAGTGGGAAAATACTGGTCAAATGTAGACATCTAACCACAGAAAACAAACTGCTCTGCCTAAACACAGGCATCTATGCCATCTGAGATGCTATGGGGTACCCAAGCGTGAGTGGGGCAGCCAAATATCACAGAAAACCTATGGGCGACTCACAGCATTGTGAGGGCTTTTTGAAAAACCCCAGGGCACCTCAGATAGTCTAGACAGTGAGTGAGTGACATGCAACTCAGTTGAGCCTCAAGCATTTTAGCCTGAAGTCATAGCCCCCCACCCCAGCTGTCTAACATGCAGAATGCCTTCCCTTTACAGTCAAATAGTAGAGGCATTTCCAGAGGATGAGTCACCCCATTCCCCTTCTCCCCAGTGACCACAAAAGCAGTGATAGACTCAGATTAAAATATCTAACTTGCAGAGAAAGAAACTAGGACAGGTGAATCCCTCTGCTCCTTCCAGTAATACATACAGAAGACTCACTGGAATGATCTGACGCAAAGCATCCATTCTCTCACCACTCAGCTCGGAGTTTTAAATTACTTTCATATACCAAACTATATAATATATCAGATTTAGTCAGCTGAAAAAAAAGTATCAGATGAGACAAATGTTACTCCCATCAGGCTACACCACAGTTTTCTTCCTCATAAAGAACAAAATGTCAGGAGCTCTGACCTGAGAAGAAATCAGAAAGGTTCGCTTCACTTGAGAAGAAAGCTGAGTGCGGAAAATTCTTACTCAGAGAGAACAGCCATGGGAGTGGATAACCTCAGCACGCAGGGGGAGCACAGTAGGAAGTCTGCTGCTCCTCTGGGTAGAACTGATTTCAACTCCTTTTTCTAAGTGAAGCACAGTATCAGATAACAAAAACCAGTTTAAAACCTTGAGTTTAGTCAGGTTCACAGAGCTTCATGGAAATAGTGCATAATACAAGCAGACAATACCACGCAGAAATAGCAATTCCACATCCCCTTCTCTCATCTGCCCTTGTCTCACCCTTTCCCTGTCCTTCACCAATGACTGAAGAGCGCTGTGCAACTCAGAGGCTCAAGAAACAGGTGTAAATACGAAGCAAGAAACCCCCAAATACCATTTTTAGCCAGGACCAGCTGTCACTACAGAATGGCCACATGACAACTGCCATTGCCAGAAAGAAGGAAGCACTGCAGGAGAGAGAACCACTTGTTCCCTGCAGAACAAGAGAACAGTCTCTCTTGCCAGCACTTTACCATAGTCTATCACTTAAGGAGTGCAACAAATGTCAGAGATTTGCTCCTCAGCATGGATGTTTTCAGAGCATTGACAGATGTTTCTTTATCTGCAGTTCAGACTGCGTGCATTTCCATTTACTAGCTATGTCTCATTGAACATGAGTTATATATACTAAGGCTAATGGTCTACCAGGTAACCACATTTGTCATTCTAATATTACAGTTATCATCAAAACATCTAAAAAGTGCATATGCTGATGCCAGAACCAAAATAATCAAAGTGGATTGAAAGAGAGAGGAAAAAAAAAAAAAAGGTTGCTAACATGGCACCGATTGAGCATTTACCATAAATTGAACAACATCCTCAGGTTTGTGCTTTGCTGACTTGAAGGCAGCCAGTCGGGTAACAACGACAATGTGGTACTCCACGTGGCCAGACATCATCTTCCCACGGACCTCCTGGTATTCCGGCACTGATAAATCCAGCCCAGTGTGTGTATTCTGAATTTGCCTAGGAAGGAAAATACACATGCAGCTCAGGCACCGGCACACACTTTTAAATGACCCTCTCTGAGGATCCAATTCAGAGCTCCAGAAGGTCAGTATTCCCGTTTCAACAGGGCACAGGACAGACCCTACAGCGCAGCAATACAACACTGCACAGACATCATCTATCACAACATGAGATAACACATATTGCTTCTGAATATTATAGTCCCAACAAACGCTGCTTTACCCTGCAAGGCAGAAAAGAAGATGCTGTGATCTCCCATTGCGTCTTGCTCTGAAACAAAGCTCTGGTCACCATTCAAGCCCTATCCACCTCCCCTTTGTCTTTGGGCATCTCTAGGAAAGGCAGAAACAAGAGCTGAAAGAAGCCAGAAAAGGAATAAGGAACTTGCCTGGATGCAGGGACAACTTTATGTCTGTAAGAGCCATCCAGGGAACAAGAGTAAAGATCAAAGACATGTTGGAGCAAACTGCTGGGCCAGCCATGCTGTTTCCACCCATGGAGCTTCTTGAAGAAAATTAAACAAACACCTATCAGGAATGTCCTTAAATCTGGTTAATCTCGGCCCCTTGGGCAAGTTAAAGCCATCTATGGTCTGTTTGCCTTCTAGTCTTGACGTGTCATGTCAAAACTTGACAAGTGCTTTTGAAACTCCAGTTTTCCCAGGGAGGCAAAATCTGAGCCTTCAACTGAAGAACCTTTTGAAAGAGATCGTCTCCAGAGTTCTCTGCAAATCCAAAAGCAACAAAGAAGGGCAGAGTCCCATTTTTTTACCTAATCCTTTTTGCAAGCCGTGTCTGGCTTTTGCTTTTCTGGAGTTGTTTTGTTTTATTTTTACTCTATCTGCTGGTACAGGAAACGCTCCACAGATGTGCGGTTACTCAAGGTTGTGAGAGCAGTAATAGATCTGTCTGCTGGTAGTTGAGACGGACTGACTTCTTTTAACATGGCCACAGACACAGGATGAATGATAAATTAATCTGCTTTTCACTCGTGATATAAATAAAAGAAAAACCCTTCTGAACGGCCTTATTTAGCTTCCAACATCAACCACACACAACGCACTGCGATGAAAACATCACGGTAAAAGTCACAGCATCGGAGACACGGAGCTGGTAAGGATATGCCCACAGCCAGGCTTTTTATTTCAAAGCTGTTAGAAGTCCCAGCTACAACGACTGTAATGACAGCACAGAGCTCTTCCGGCCGCGGAACGCCACAAAACCTGGCAGGACAACAGGACAGCACCGGCCCCAAGCCCCCAGGGCCGGGGGAACCGCGCCCTCAGCCACCGCGCCCTCAGCCGCCTCCCAGCGCCCGCCGCCCCATCCCGGCCGGTACCTGGTGGTGACCAGCACGGCGGGCGCCGCGCTGTGCTGCATGGCGGGGGCTCGGGCTCCTTCCGGCCCGCCCCGGGAGCAGAGGCCGCTGAAGGCAGCTGAGCGGCCGTCACGGGGTTCCGCCTCCCTCTGGCTGCGGTCCGGCCGGATGTGTGTCGGCTGCGGTGCAAAAGGGGCGCTGGGAAGCGTCGGGAGAAAAGAACGCGTTGCCACGTAGTCGGCAGGATTCGAACCTGCGCGGGGAGACCCCAATGGATTTCTAGTCCATCGCCTTAACCACTCGGCCACGACTACACCGGCGTGCAGAGTAACTGGCAGTGAAACTGGAGTAATTTCTCTCTGGTTTGCAGTCCTAAGCTGTGTCACCGCGGGGGTTTCAGCCCTTCCTCGGACAGGAGATGCTCCAGGCCCTAAATCATCTTTGTGGCCGTCTGATGGACTCTCTCTAGGAGATCCCCATCCTTCTTGAACTGAGGAGCCCAAAACTGAACGCAGCACTCCAGATGTTACCTCAGCAGGGCAGAGGAGGGGGAGGATCTCCTCCCTCCATTTGCTGGCCACAATCCCCTTAATGCACCCCAGGATACCATTTTCTTTCTTGGCCACAGTTGCACACTGCTGGCTCACGGCCAACCATGACACCCGGGTCCTTTATCACAGAGCTCATCTCCAGCAGCTCAGCCCCCAACCTGTACTGATGCATGTGGTTATTTCTCCTGACATGCATTGCCCTACACTTGCTGTTACTGACCCTCATCAGGTTCCTCTCAGTTCAAGTCTGCAGCCTGTCCAGGTCTCACTGACTGGCAGCACAGCCTTCAGGTGTGTCAGCCACTCCTCTCAGCTTTGTGTCTTACTGAAAGAGAAATGGAAATCAAACCTCTTTTGGGTGCCCAGAGGGAGAAGCAGCAGCCAGGGGAAGATTAGTGGTTTTGTTCCAGACATGGGCAGCTGAAGGAGTCAGGGATGTGATGGGCTGCACATCCTATGCCATCAAAAGCATCACAGAATTGTAGAATCCTAAAACAAACAAACAAACAAACAAAAAAACCTCAAATCTGACAGAAGCAAGCTGTATGATGTACATAGAGCTGTTTGCTGGAGCTGAACAATTATCTTGCCTTTATCAGAAGCAAAGAACTTATCTCCGAAAGTTTGGAGTATGATTTCACAGAATCACAGAATGGTGGAGGTTGGCAGGGACCCCTGGGTCCATCTGGCACAACTCCTTCTCAAGTAGGGGCACCCAGGGCAAGAGAGCCCATAACCCATCTGTGTTCCACTTTGTGCCTATGGCCTCTTGCAAAAAAGCAACATTTCCATGCTACTTTGGGTGCTACATAGAAAATTTCAGCCACTGAACTGACTTTTTTTTATCTTTTTTTTTTTTTTTTTCCCCCTGGCAGAAAAGTTGCCATGGGTGAGTGTTGCTCAGACCAAGCACTCAGCCCATCAGTCACAGTAGCAGTGGGATTCCTTCACGCCCTTGATCATCAGCTGGAGACATGCTGGGGAAGGCCAGCAGAAGGATATACAGCAAATCTAAGAATTAATAGCAGTAACAGTGTAGCATCACTAACAGTACGTTTTCCTACCAATATTTGGGGAAACCTCAACTGCTCCTCTCAACCTTGTGGGTGTCTTATCTTCATCTATGAGTGAGCAAAGGAGAGAGGAAGAAACTCTCTCAGCCTTAAGCACTACCTTCTTCTGGACTACTAGTCTTTCTTTCTGCCTTTTAACTCTTCAATATTGACTGGTTTGGTTGGTTGGTTGGTTGATTTATTTTTATCCATTCATATGACAGGTTGGATATTAGGAAAAATTTCTTCTCAGAAAGAGTGAAGAGGCTGGAACAGGGAGTCCAGGAAAGCAGGGAAGTTGCCAACCCAGGAGATGCTTAAGGAAAGGGTAGGTGGAGTGCTTAGGGACCCATATGGTTCAGTGGGCAGTGTTGGTGGTAGGTGAACAGTTGGACTAGATGAACTTAGAGGTCTTTTCCAACCTTAATGATTCTATGTTTCAGTGACAGCTCCAAACTGAAGAAAGTATTCAAAGAAAAGGAGGCCAGTATGATTTCAGTCAACGACCTCTAGAAAGTGGAGAAAAATGAGCAGGAGAGAAGTAATTAAGCTCAGTAGATGGATAAAGGAACTTCATTTGTGTTGAAGATGTACGAGCATTCAGAAGTGTCCATATAAGAGGAGCTCATGCTGAAATATGGTCTCATCCTGAAAATCTACATTAAGAGCTCTCCACAGTACAAATGTAATGGAAAAGGCAGATTTTAAACACAGAATTTAAGGAGAGATGCTTATAACCTCAGTAGATCATGTAGCAGCTTCATCGGTGAAGTGGCTATTCCAGTTTCACCATCAGCATCAAAAATACTTTATTATTTCACAAAAATAACATGAAAATGTGGTGAGTTATTTTCAGACCTCAGAACTGTGATACCTAGTATAGGCAATGACAATTACATTACAGTACCCTTACAGATCTCATGATTTTGGGATACCTTTTTAACATATGGTTCAGTAATACAGTGGTGGCTGGTAAATGAGTTGGTATAATCATTTTCCCAAACTTTCCACTAAATCCCTCGTAAGAACCAAAAATTGTTCCTACTCTCCTGTCTTCATACCTATCTGCCCTTCTTTCTTGCTGCATAAGCTGGAGAAGCTCCAGCATGTGCTTCCTTCACAATGGGAAGAATGTCCCATGGAAGAAGTAAAGTCAAGAAGACCCTGCCCAGACATTCAGCATAAGCCTGTGGGTATTGCAGACTCCATGCCACAGACAGCCAGATGAATGCTCAGGGAAGGTGAGCTGTTTGTTTCTGGATTAATTCTTCTGTCCACTAGAGAGCACTCAAATCTAACCAATAAACCATGACAGGTTGCTGGTGCTGACTGCAGCCCCGTACTGCGTCTCACCCTTTGGGACCCAGCTCTGGAAGCTGTCTCAGAGTCCCGTCTATCTTCTGGCTGGGATCACAGCCCTAGCTGGGTGTGATTCTTGGCAGCTCTCAGGTTTTCTTTTCATCTCCCCCAAGCTAACAGACCTGCAGCAGTGAGTTTATAGGTCTCAGGGGAATTATCCGCCAACTTTTGGATCCCTGGCAAAATGCTCTGCTTGTAATCCATGGATGTGGAGAAATCAAAGCCCTGCATAGGGTATAGTAAGTTAAATGGAGGGGCTGGGGGGAAGCAAGGACAAGGGAACGTGCTTCCATACAAAATAAATTGGCTATGAAAACACATTTTAAAAGCTGAAATGAAACTTTTTCAGCCTAGATCATATTGAGAGAAATACAATAGCATTTAATTACTGCACTGGAGTAATAGGATTCCAGTGAGATGATCGGTCACTTTATCGTTTCTACCACTTTTTGTTTTCAGATGACAATTACAGAACCCAGATGCAAACCACTGGGAGATTTTATATTAAGTCCAGAATGCTGTGTGAGTTTCAAAGGTAACAGAAATGCTAGATTTAAAGTTCACTGTTGTTATATGATGTGGTAAGGCTGTTGATAGCCTGTCAAAGCAGCCTTCTAATCTACACACCTCCTAAACTGAGGATCAATTTATTCTGGGAAGAAGGGAGGAGAGTTATATTGCTGTTCTTCATTATACCTCATGTTTTTCCCTCCTCTAAACAGTTAACCTGTAATATGATGATTCCATGTCAGGAATAATCCAATAAAAACCATAGGTAATCCCTGATGAAAGATAACCTGGCTCTTGCCCTGTTGCGGTCCTAGAATTAAAATTCCCTGTCTCTGAAATTTGGGAGACCGATGTAAATCATGGATAAAATTCATGGTAGACAGCTGGAAAGAAAAGATGAGGTTTTCTGGTTTGCCTCAATTTAAAAATAAAGTAAAATAAAAGAAACCATGCAATACAAAATATATATGTATATAATTCTATATTATTCAAAAATGGCAGTAGAAACTACATCCTTCCTTCCTTCCTTCCTTCCTTCCTTCCTTCCTTCCTTCCTTCCTTCCTTCCTTCCTTCCTC